CAAACAATTATTCACGAAGACACCACAGTCTCCGCCGTGCCTCATTTCCAAAAGGAAACATGGACCCTGGGAAAAGCTCCTGGAACCCCTGGAATCTTGCACAACCCAGGAGATTGGGGAGGAGTGCACCAATATAGATTTTTGCCTCTTACTGGAAATCATGTGTAGGGAAAGTGCTTATTGCGCTTAGGTCCTTGTTGTTGGCTTCCCACAGGCATCTTGTTGACCACTGTGAGAACAGGATATGGGACTAGGTGGGCCATTGGCCTGATCCAGCAGGCTCGTCTTATGTTCTTAGCTTCTGCAGAGTATAGAATAGATCTGCCTCTAAGATGCTACAAGGCTATGTATTCATTGGTGTCAATGCCCCTAAGCCAAATCTTAGCAAACTGCCCAATTTGTTACTGTATAGATTACTGTCTTGCCCCCTCCTTCTCCTCAACGAGAAGCAATAAAAGTCCCACATGGCCAGATTAAGAGTTTCAGCCTGTAGAATCAATTGTTACTTTGAATCAGGGAAAACATCTTGCAAGCCAACATCTACTAGGGTTGCAAAATTACTGCTCTGGGGGAAACTGCAATGAAAGTCTAAAGGGGGAAAGTAGACACAAACTTACTAGAAATAATTGGCCACAAGTTTTCTTTATTTTTAAAGCCTTTATCTCCCTCATTATCCATCTCACAGAGAATATATTGGTATGTGCCACTTTAGAAACATTTTGTGATCGTTGGCAAGAGAAAAAAGGCCACCCTCTAAATCTGCAGGGGGGTGTTTCCCGTTACAAGCACAAGTTTCACAATTTAATTATTTGTGGGTATATGGAGTGGTAAAATAACGTGGATGGTGATTAGCCCCATACCCAGCTGTGATGGTGCAGTCTGATCCTCTCATTTAGCAAGCATCACATGCTTGCAGGCTGAAGCCCTAATTAATAGAATTATTTGTTTCTCCTAAGTGACTTCAGGCCAGCTGGATTATACAAGTCACTGCCATGAGCGCAGAAGAATTTTGGTCCCCGGTCTACAGCTGTTGGAACAGCAGCCAGTAAAAACTAGCAGCTCTCAAGGAGCTGGATGTTTAAACAAGAGGGCAGCTCTAACATTCTCATCATTCAAATTCTCCAAAGCAGAGGTTTCCTAAGGGTCTGGAAAGTTTGCTTGTTACATGCATACATATGGCAGAGGCAGAGAGATTTCAATTTAACTCATCGAATTTGGTTGGATTTGTGGAACTGAAAGAATTTTTTTAAGCTCCTGTTGATTCTTCTAAGAAGTTTCCATCACAGAGGCAATTAGCACATAACAAGTACAGTGAACAGACACTGTGTGTTATGATTCCGTTTTTTAAAATGCTACCAAAATACATGGGTGGTTAGCTAGATTAAGAACAGGAGGTCTGGCATCCTTGGGTCCCATTGTCATCTCTGAGCCTTCGCAAGCCCTGTCCTCAATGGGCAGGTGTGAGCTTCCCTTTAAAAAAATAAAATGCCACAATGCCCTGGGAGCACCTGGTGCAGCATTACTCCAAGGCACTGTAGGGAATTTAGTTGCCTGCTGCAACCACCACCCAATAAACCCACAAGCAGCAGGAAGGAGGCAGGAGAGATTCCACATAGGGCACTTTGCCAATGACCCGCTCAAACATGGGACCCATTCTGCCAAGGAAAATAGGTTGTTGTTATTGTTGTTAAAAAAAACAACTTGGTTTGCATGCAATAATAGACATCCTCTGGGTATATCCATATTCATTTGATGCCCATTTAACCATTGTGTTCCCTCCTGCAAAGAACCCTGGGGATTTTTAGTACAGTGGTACCTCGGGTTAAGTACTTAATTCGTTCTGGAGGTCCGTTCTTAACCTGAAACTGTTCTTAACCTGAAGCACCACTTTAGCTAATGGGGCCTCCCGCTGCCACTGCGCCACCACTGCACGATTTCTGTTCTTATCCTGAAGCAAAGTTCTTAACCCATGGTGCTATTTCTGGGTTAGCGGAGTCTGTAACCTGAAGCGTATGTAACCTGAGGTACCACTGTACAGTGAAGTTGCAGCAGATTGTGTTAAGAGGTCCTGAGTCCACCTAACACAAAGAAAGTTCCCAAGGATCCTAGGGTTGGGAAGTGGGTAGGGAATGGGAAAGCCAATGCTTGGAACAGATTGGTTCAATTAAAGGATCTGAACTACACCAAGTTCTCTGAACTACACCTGGAAGCAGGTCCCATAACTGCTGGATGGGAATGAAGTGCATTTGGGGATAGAACTTGGAACGATTTATCGTTCATCTTTCAAGTTCATTCTCTTACATTTGTCAGAGACTCTTTGGGCCTTTAGAGCTTAAAGATTGTAACTGTTGACCCCCCCCCCCAATTACTCTCCGCTGTGCCAATGATCATTTGGACGAACATGAATGGACTGTTCCTCTTTGAAAGGAAGGACCATAGCCCAGTGGCAGATTGTCTGCTTTGCATGCAGAAGGTCCCAAATTCAACCCCTGTAATATCCAGATGTCAGCAGAGAATCCTGCCCAAAACCCTAGAGAGCTATAGTAGGACAGTATTGTTCTAGAGATGAATGAACGATCTGATTCAATATAAGGCAGCTTCATGACTGTGAACTGAAATGAACTAGCGCATTTTGTAAAGGGATGAACACGAAATGCAATTAGTTCCTTTTTCAACAACCTGAACTAGTTTTTGAAATGAACTTCCCAAGGCTCTGATGAAAAACTACGTATATGCTGCATACTCGGTGCTTTTGTTCTAGAAAAAAATGTGCCAGTACTCACCATGAAGTTGCCACAGTAAGTGCCACACTTTTAACCAGCACTTTTCTTCTAAAAAAATTAAATGGTGACAGTACTGCACTGTGCATACTTAATATACATAATTTCTGCAGATCCCGTATGTTTTCCTGGTGTAGAATTTTACTTTTACATGTGTGTGTGCATGCACATACATATTTCTGGTGGATTTAAATCCAGGACAAGATTGCTCAAATACTTTCCGCCTTTAATGAATGGCTGGATCCTAGGGCACAGTCTGAATGGACATAGTGAGGTAAAATGCTGAAACTCTGAATCAGTGACTGGATGGTAAGACTGGATGAGACCCCCCCCCCCTCACTCCTGACTTCCATGGAAGAAAGGTGGGGAATATAAATAGAATCATTAAAATAAAAGCCTATTAATAGATGACAGGTTTCTGGAATGGCTAAATTGAATTTTATGTTTCCACGAAAAAGCAGACAAATGATGGAGAGTCGCGAAAAGCAGGCACTTCCTGTTATTGCCCTCTGGAAATGAGATTCACTAATTACTGCACTTGCTGTATAAGGTTCATGAACACTCATGCATCAAGTTTGACATGCAATAAATAAGTAGAAGACTCCTTAGCTGGCAGTAAAAGAGTGTGGAGGCAGAAGATGCTGGTGGGTTTGAAACAAATGGGGCAATATTATTTTAAAGGCTCGAATTTATTTTTCTTTGCCACTTGCACTTCTAAGTGCATAGGTAACGGATTTCTGAAGGACTGGTTCAAGTTATTGGCCATTAAAGTGCTACGCAAACTAGCTGACTGCTAAAATGTGAAAAATAGCAATTTTGTGCCCAGTAAATTTACATACACACCTCCACTTCAAAATGAAGAAAACCTGGTTTTTTGAAAATACTGCAATAAGGATGTGAGATTTGGTTCACTTTGTTTATTTATTTATTTTAATAATCCTCTCGCGTTCCATAATACAAACAATAGGAAGGTTAACATTGGTACTTCTGGTCCTCTTTACGAACTGCTTGTATATCATCAAATTAAAAGACAACATTTTAGGCAAGTTGGAAACTGCAGCCTTTAAAGGCAGCACTATGCATTGCAAAACTAACTCGGATGATGCTCCTCTCTCTGACTATGTTAATGTGTAGGTTGTACAGAAATGGGAGGGCAATAAGACAAATAGCAAGATGCAGAACCTTATAAAAATGCACATTAAATCCTTATAGCTGCAATGCAGCATTCAATAAATAACGATACCAATTAACACACTGCAAACTTGATAGAAGATTGCAGCTGTGTACACATTAGCGTATTTACGCTGGCTCCACTGCGTTCCCACTGCTGGCATTGAAAGCCAAGCGTACATGATGTTAACCGCAATCTATGTGTATCTTGTAGTTTCTTGATAAATGCTCCTATTTTATGTGCTTCCCTCAAACCAGATGCCATCCGATTTGAAAACGCAAGCTGCGGTTAAGATGCGTTTTGCGCAGCTCAGGCAGCCATTGCAAAAGTGCAGGTGGCAGCTTCCTTGAATGGGAGTCTGAGGGTTGCAGGCACAGGGGAATGAATCGGGCAATGTGCGTTGGGTGAAGACACCCCCGCCCCCTCTCTGGCGTGTACAGAAAGTGCTAATGTGCCTTAGGAATGGAAAACAACCTTGCTGCATTTGAAGCCACTAATGTGTGCGTAGCCTGAAACCAGCTGGAATGGAGTCTTACTGGTATTCTGTAGTAACTGGTACGGTTATTTATTGCTTGCATGCGCCTATGAGAATATATGATTTTACATGGTCTAAACCAGGCATAGGCAAACTTGGCCCTTCAGATGTTTTTGAGACTACAATTCCCATCATCCCTGACCACTGGTCCTGTTAGCTAGGGATGATGGGAGTTGTAGTCCCAAAACATCTGGAGGGCCGAGTTTGCCTATGCCTGGTCGAAACCACTGAGCCTCTTGGGCTTGCTGATCAGAAGGTCGGTGGTTCGAATCCCCGCGATTGTTGTCGTTGTTGTTTTACTTTATATGGTTTTACAAAGTTCTGGATCTTTTTGCCATTTGCATTATTGTAGGGGGCGGGGCTCTGATGGTGTACAGGTTTGTATCTTTAGAAATGTATGGCACAACTGCAACACAATCAAGGTCCCAAACAGGTCCTGCTAAAACATAGCTGCCCAAACTTTGCACTGGAATGTTGAGGCTCAAATATTCTTATGCATCAGAATGACACTGAGTAAGGAAAGATGACAAGTTCTTTTATTAAAAAGAAAAAGAAAAGCCCTACTGAAATGAATGGGAGCTGAGAGAAAGGATCCCTTCTACTGGTTTATTGGGCCTGGAAGATCCTAGCTGGATCCAGTCCTCTGCTATCTACTGCTGTTTAATTTATGGGAATCTCACCATTAAAAAAAAGAAACTAACGGAGAAAAGGAGGTAGCTAAACGGACATAATTTTCATCTGCAATTAAATTAGAAGGTCACCATAAGCACAATGTTAAAAATCAGGATTTATAAACAGTCAAGTTGGGCTAAGTTTAACTCACTTCATAGTAGTCTGTCTTGCCCAGATGTTAAGGCTTTCTAACACAATTACAGCTATTTGTTTTGCCTCTGTCACCACGGACGGTTGCTACATCATTATGCAAACATGACAAATTCATTTTATTAGTCAAACATTTGAGTTCCACTCAAGTGCACTAAATAAAATCAAGGCTGCACTGGAAGTCAAATAACCCCCGATACCACTGAATTGTAGCTTCAATAGTAATCTTAAATTAAATTAAAAAGGAAGACCAGTAATCAGAATCTTTTTTTCTCCCTGAAGCTTATTGGGTTTCTATGCTGCCCACATGATTTTTTTTAATTAAAAATGTATTCCAGGTGGTCTAGAATTGTAACTATCCACCCCCACCCAAGCATTTGAAGTACGTTGGACAAGAAACCGCCCATATCCAGCATCTCAAACATGTCGGTTGTGAATGTATCAAAATGCATTTCAAAAGTAGCACAAAATAGATTTTAGAAAATCGTAAGTAAGAAGCCAGCCAAAATCTAAGATATCCAGCTAGGGGGTCTGAGATCTGGAAAAGAGCCAATCAGCTGAATTCTGTGTTCACTTGGAACCAATAACCAAGAACTGAAGCCAAATGACCCATTTTTAAAATGGCAGCAGCTGCCCCGCATGTATAAATGCTTCCCTTATATCTCGTGTCACACTAGATGGACAGATTCACCCCCAAATTCCTGAGTGTCATTGTGTTCCTCTGAAATGCACTGCATTCAAGAATTCTACAAATCCATGTTCCAGCCCCACAAGAGAGCTCACTTTGGGTTCCCCCCTCCCCCTTATATACTGTTAGTTAAATTTTCACCCTTAACACTTTTTTTCCTGAACCTCTGTTTCAAGAACAACCCACGACTTTTGACGTAGATAACACATTTTAGATTTTTTTGTTCATACTGGCCAAAGGATAGCTTTTTAAACAAGAGGTGCTGGTTTATTTCTGGTAAGACTCCCTCACTTTGGCCTGCAGGGCATCACACGTCTTCTTAGCGTCCCCAAGCAACATAGCAGTGTTGGGCTTGTAAAAGATTGGATTGTCCACAGCTGCATAGCCAACACCTAGAGATCTCTTCATAACAATGACCTGAAACGAGGAACTTGTATTAGATATGGCACAGGTATATCAGCATCAACACAAAAGAAGATGGTTGTTTATATAGAGCAACCCCATGGAAAAAAAATTATTTCAATACACATTAACTGTTCTGTTGTCAGGTTGGAGCTAAAGGTTTCCCCCACCCGTTTCAGAAAAGCAGACCATACTGTTAAGAGATAACTGCAACACTTTTTGTTTATTCAATACAGGTGTGGCAAACCTTTGACAAATACCGTATTTTTTGCTCCATAAGATGCACCTGACCATAAAACACACCTAGTTTTTAGAGGAGGAAAGGGGGAAAGCCCCGTTTTTGGGGGATCAGCTCACAGTTGTGCAGCTTCTTTTGCAAAGGGGAAAAGCCCCCTTTTTTGAGGATCAGCTCAAAGTTGTTGAGCTTACTTTGCAAAGGGAAAAAATCCTGTTTTTATGGGGTTCAACTCACAGTTCTGTAGCTTCTTTAGGAAAGGAAAGGGAGCCGTTTTTACAGTTTCCAGACAGATGATCTAATCAGCCAGTCACATGTCGCTGGGGAAACAAACAGCCTCCATCTGCAGAACATTCAACAATGAAGGCCGGCCTGGGCAAGGGGGCGGGGCCAGAAAGGGACCCAGCGATTGACCGCACATTCGCTACATAAGACGCACGGACATTTCCCCTTACTTTTTAGGAGGAAAAAAAGTGCGTCTTAGGGAGCAAAAAATTCGGTAGGTCCGAGAGGAGTTGGGAGACTAGAGTAACAGCTGTCTATATCATCAAGGCACTGATAGCTCCCTGCAGTGGGAGAAAGCAACAATATTCCACTATGTAGTTCCCAATGGGCAGAATAATTTGGAAGACACTCTTCCAGGTGAAAGGTTGCAAGTTTTCCCTACTCTCTTAATGGTGCCTTCTAGTCTGTCCATATTGGAAAATAGTTCAGGAAAAAGTAGGCAGAAAATTTGTGGTAGCTTGGGGCATAATTGGTATTATGTTTCTAAATAAGATGACAGCTTTAAAGAGTTTGAGAAAAGATGGAATTTCTGCCACAATGTTTTGGAGCCTACCTGCTTTGCTCTCCAAACTTCTAGAACAGGCATTCCAGCAATGATGGAGTTTGGATCTTCCTGGGCAGCTGAATTAACTGTGTCATTAGCTCCAATGACAAGGACTAGATCAGTTTCTGCATTAAGAATAAGGGAGGGGGAGAGACCACATACAAACACACAAAATTATGAACAGAACTCAATATTCCAACAGTTAGCAACTTGCATCATAGTAGCATGAAGATGCAGAAACTTCAATTTCCACACGGAGATATAAAACCAGTACAGGTGAACTTCCCCAAACTAATTATTAGAGAGTGTTAAATTGTTTTTCCTGGAAGCTTAAAAATTAGATTAAAATGATAAGGAACAGCATGGAAATATTAATTTCCAGTGCATGCATTTAGTAAGGGAACGGATAACAATGACTTTTAACAGAGTGAGCCAGATAAGAATCTGACATAATTTAGACTGCAAATTTTCATATTGTAATCAAAGTGAAGCATTGTGAGCTAGCTTTTTAGAAACCACACACAAATGAAAGCAAAAATGGACTAGGGGTTGCTCTCTCACCTGGGAAGTCTTCATTGATCTCATCCATTTCTAGGACAATGTCGTACGGCACACCGGCTTCTGCGAGTAGCACATTCAGTTGCCCAGGCATGCGTCCGGCGACGGGATGAATACCAAACCTGAGGGTAGTGGGAGAAAGAGGCAATGAAATCATGTATGTGGTACACAATAAAATAAATAAAAAGAAAATAGGAAGAAGCTTTAGAACATTGAGTCCATGTAGCTCAGTCCTGTCTGCAGCAGGGTGTCCCAAACTTGGGTCTCCAGCTGTTTTTGGACTACAGTTCCCATCATCCTGACCACTGGTCCGGCTAGCTAGGGATGATGGGAGTTGTAGTCCAAAAATAGTTAGAGACACAGGTTTGGGGAAACCCTGGCCTACACTAAGTACCAGAGACTCTCCAGGTTTCTCAGACAGGGTCTCTCTTCACCATACCTGGAGATGCTGAGGATTGAACCCTGGGTTCTACATGGAAAGCAGATGCTCTACCACTGAACTCTTCCCCAACTCTTCTCTTATTAATTGTCACAGCACATTATTTGAGTACAACCCCACATGTTAATGATAATAATAATAATAATGATGATGATGATAATGATGATGATGATGATGATGATGATGATGATAATTTATTATTTATACCCCGCCCATCTGGCTGGGTTTCGCCAGCCACTCTGGGCAGCTTCCAACAAAATATTAAAATACAATACTCTATTAAACATTAAAAGCTTCCCTAAACATGTTAAAGATGGAAACCCAAGGCTGAGAGGGTAAGTTAAGAACACAGGAACCCTGATGGGTCAGACCAAAAGCCCATCCAGTCCTGGAAGCAGATCAGCATTCTTCCAACCTGGTATTCAGAGGCCTGCTCTCTCTGGCACTGGAAAACGCCCATAGCCTTATCCTGTGTGTTAGGGATGATTAGGAAAGTGACAGAAAATGTAACTCCAAATGATATAATGGTGCAACCACACTTGGAATAATAGGTAGAGTTCTGGTCACTCAAAAAGGATATTGTAGAGCTGGGAAAGGTTTGCAAAAACCAACAAAAACGGGGTTAGCATGGTTTCCTAATGACAAAGCATTAAAGCATTCATTTAGTTTAGGGGGGGAAAGGTGAGTAAGGGAGACATAGAAGTATATGAAATTATGAATGAAATGGGAAAGAGAAATAGGGTGAAGGTTTTTTCCTCCCCTCTCTTATATGTAAAATACTAGAACCTGATGTCCTCCAACGAAGCAGAACGGTGAAAGATTTGAGAAAGACAAAAGGAAGTAATTCTTCACACAGTACAAAGCTAAAATGATGAATTTGCAACAAGATGTGGTGGTGGCCAACATGCATTATGTGGACAGATTTAAGGGGATTGGACAATTTTATTGAATTTCGTTGAATAAGGCTATAAGGTAAAGGTAAAGGGACCCCTGACCATTAGGTCCAGTCGTGGCCGACTCTGGGGTTGCGGTGCTCATCTCGCTTTACTGGCCGAGGGAGCTGGCGTACAGCTTCCGGGTCATGTGGCCAGCATGACTAAGCCGCTTCTGGTGAACCAGAGCAGCGCACGGAAACGCCGTTTACCTTCCTGCCAGAGCGGTACCTATTAATCTACTTGCACTGGTGTGCTTTCCAACTGCTAGGTTGGCAGGAGCAGGGACCGAGCAACAGGAGCTCACCCCGTCGCGGGGATTCGAACCGCCGACCTTCTGATCGGCAAGTCCTAGGCTCCGTGGTTTAACCCACAGCACCACCCGCGTCCCCGAATAAGGCTATAAATGTCTGCTATTCATGATGGCTCCAGAAGCAGAGGCAGGCAGCGTGCCACTGAATGCCAGTAGCTAGGAGGCACCAGCAGGAAAGGGCTGACCATTACCCTCATATTCTGCCCATGGGTTTCCCATACGCCTTTGGCTGGCCACTGTGGGGAACAGGATAAAGCATGAGACTTTTCATCTCAGGGTCGTGGGTTCAAACCCCATGTTGGGCTAGAGATTCCTGCATTGCAAGGTGTGGGGCTAGCTGACCCTCAAAGTCCCTTCCAACTCTACAATTCTATGATTATTCTTGTATGCTTTTGTATAAATGAGTGATTGCTTTAATCACTTTAAAGGTTTAAAGGTTACTACTAACAGTGTCAATGTGAAGCTGTTGCCCGAACGAGTTTAGATTTGAGTTTAGAATGCTAGGTCTTTTAATTTTATTTGCATACTTTATAACAGAAGCCACAAGCCAATTCAACACTCCAAATTCCTCATGTATAAAACCAGTTCAAAGCAAGATGGGGATTTTTGCCTTTTAATAAAAAAAAATGTAAAAAAATCCAAACCATGTCACAAAGCTGGCCCTGGGACTCTACCAAAGAACTAAGATCTGGGAGCCACTGATAGGCTTAAAATTTAGCTGAACTTGAAAAGCCTTTCACAAACACCTCAAGGATAAAAAGTCCTAGTGTGAAAAACCTCTGTCTACAACAATTCAACATGACATAGAGATTTTCTTTAGAGCCCAGATTCTGGCCCAAATAGCGAAGATTTAGCTGCTTCTGGATCAAGTCTCAAATACACAAGGACTGAACTGCTGAATTTATCAAGTTAATGGGGGTGATTGTTGCCATGAAATTATTGAAGAGATTAAACCTGTGGCAAGAAGAGGTGGGCAAGACCACCTGCTTAATTAACTCCACTTGGGAATTAAAAACATGTTTTTCAAAAGCTTTGCTTTGTATTCCTAGAACACCCTGGCCTGTATTTGTAAAACATGCAGGAGCTCTGGAGCAGGAGTGAGGAAAGTATAGAGAAGCTTCTCCCCACCTTATATAATTTCTAGCACTGTATAGGAAATTTGTCAACGCAGACACACTAGATTTGATTTGCTCTGTCTAAAACAGGGTTCAACATAAAACTAATACAATGGCAATTATGATGCTCAGTGTTTCATTATCATAAAAGGTAAAGGTAAAGGTACCCCTGCCCGTACGGGCCAGTCGTGTCCGACTCTAGGGTTGTGCGCTCATCTCACTCTATAGGCCGGGAGCCAGCACTGTCCGCAGACACTTCCGGGTCACGTGGCTAGCGTGACGAAACTGCATCTGGCGAGCCAGCACCAGCGCCACACACGGAAACGCCGTTTACCTTCCCGCTAGTAAGCGGTCCCTATTTATCTACTTGCACCCGGGGGTGCTTTCGAACTGCTAGGTTGGCAGGCGCTGGGACCGAACGACGGGAGCGCACCCTGCCGCGGGGATTCGGACCACCAACCATACGATCGGCAAGTCCTAGGCGCTGAGGTTTTACCCACAGCACCACCCGCGTCCCCTTCATTATCATACCTAATCCTTAATATGAACATTTCTCCACCATTTTAGCACACCGGCCAAATATTTTCATCAAGCTTTCTACAGAAATGTTGAAAACAAAACAAAGGACACCAATCTTGTGTGAGTACAGTCAAATTAGGCCACAGAAGCATAGGTGTAATCAAGATTTTCTTTTTTCTTTAAGGAGAACTCTTCCCATGCCCAGATCACCTAATTATCTGTGACAACCTGCTTCCAATATTTGATTTTGGTTGTTCAGAGAACTGGGTGAGTTGTGTTTAAGCACAAGTTTTGGTGGTGGTCCTGGAAAAGATGGCGGTGATATGGAAGGCCTGGTGTAAGCATATATTATCTGACAGACGGCTATTGAAGGCTCATGTATCTCCCACTGCCCTGCTTCACATTTCTAGAAAGAATCATTCTGCAGCGTTAAGGTGCTGCTGGTGTTAGCACTAACCAAAGCTAGTTTACTTGCTGTGTTATGATTGCTCATCACCCAAGTCACTTGAGCATCTAAGGACTAAACAAGGCATGTTATATAGGAGATTCATGAACAGGATCTCTTCAAGGGATAAAAAGTAGAGAGAAATCACAAGCAACTACAGGGAAACACTAAATGAGACGTTTCTTTGCCCTATGCTGTTTTGCAACTAAAACCAGTACCTGCAGTGCTTCCTTGCCTTGAGCTAAAGAAAAATCAAAGTAGACCTTGTTCTCAGATGTCCTGTGACATGTCTCACTTGGCCCTAAAATTATCAACACAGGAAGTATGTATTCACATGTCTATAGTACTTCCAGGACAGTGTACATTTCATCGAGCTGCTTCTGGATTTGTAGCATACTTTTTTCCTTTTATACATCTATGTACATATACTTCCCCTTAACTCAGCATCTCATGGAAATGTTTCTGCAATTTTAAACTAACTTGGAAGCAGCAATCAGTTTCCAGCCGTATTTTTAAAAACCATAGGGGCTAGAAACTTGGGGGACGAAAGGGGTAAGGAAGGCTGATAGAAACAGTAGGCTTTTTCCTCACAAAGCATGTTTGCAAACTGCACACAGCCTCAAGGATACTTTAGAGGGAAAGTAACTGCAGTCCTTCTAGCAAAGACCAGATGTAGAATCAGATATACAACAGCAAAACAAATAGGACAAAATATTAAGAAGCTTAAAGGTTCAGCCAGTCAGCCACTAAGTAATTCAAGCCATGTGAAACAGTTCTCCTCTTTCAAAAAAAATCCCTACTGAAGCACAATAATTTTTAGAAGAACTCCAATGTGGATGTCTGTGTTAGAATTCAGGCAAAGGATGCAGTTCCCCTGTGTTTCCAATATAAGTTATATCTCAGCAGTTTTCATTACAATGCATCTTTTGGTTGCATGTTCTTACTCATCTCTCTTCTCCCTCCCTCAAGGTTTGGGAGGAACAATTGTTGTTGGTTGTTGTTTAGTTGTTTAGTCGTGTCCAACCCTTCCCTATGGACCAGAGCACGCCAGGCACTCCTGTCTTCCACTGCCTCCCGCAGTTTGGTCAAACTCATGCTGGTAGCTTTGAGAACACTGTCCAGCCATTTCGTCCTCTGTCATCCTCTTCTCCTTGTGCCCTCCATCTTTCCCAACATCAGGGTCTTTTCCAGGGAGTCTTCTCTTCTCATGAGGTGGCCAAAATATTGGAGCCTCAGCTTCAGGATCTGTCCTTCCAGTGAGCACTCAGGGCTGACTTCCATTTTTGAGTGACCAGAACTCTACCTATTATTCCAAGTGTGGTTGCACCCTTATATTATTTGGAGTTACATTTTCTGTCA